GGAATTCGGAATCCATAAGTCAAAGAAAACAAGTTCTTCGAATACGCGAAAATTATTTTGCATAGCTTTTGCCGGCAAAAAATAAGAGGCCAAGTAAAAGAGACCTCAAACTTAACCTTTTTTGAAACAAAAATTCTCGCAACCGTTACTTCTAGTGAGGGCTATGATTATGAGAATCTAAATAACGTGCGTCGTAATATGATTCCATGATACTGTTACAAATCACCACTACATATTCTTGCCGGCCATCGTATCAAAACAATTTATGGAGATGTTGAACACTTACTTCCGTCTGCTTCTCGCTTACGAACGGATCGGACCACACGTTGTTAAAAGATGCTAAAAGGCTGCCAGAAACTCATCGCAATAGCTTGTTGCTATTGTGCTACTCACTAGTCTTCTCAGGGCAATTTGATCTAGACAAGAACCGCTCACCATGGCCAGGTTGAACAAAAGATGGGTAACTTAGCCTGCGTGCATGCGAGCAGGCTCTCGTGTTTGGGCCGGGGCCGCGAGTTGCGAAGCCGCGAGAAGGCACTCGCTCACATGCCAGCACAAAAAGACACTAGACACTAGGGCCTGCTCAGACACTAGAGACAGACGCTAGAGCCTGCTCGCGGGCTATGGGCAACTCTACCCACCCGAAAAATCACTAACCCTGACTGGATAGTGATTTACCCAATGGATAGCTTTATCCAGCTTTTGAACAACCGGACCAGATGTATAGCTAGGGGTTGTTCAGACCTAGTCAAGAATTTTTTAACAATTACAATTTGTGGTTGAAGAGAAGCAAAGAAAATAAATAAAATCAAATAATTTTTCCCTATATTTATTTATTAGACATTGCTTAAGCGATTTAGTTCTATCGTCATTCATAATATCTGGATTCTGGATTCCGTGTTTTAGGGTTGCCCAAAACGAAAACGACTATGGGGACGAGAATGGGCGTCATCAGCAACCGCCGCCCCCAGACTCCTTAAACGCGGTCGCGTAACAATTCAAGCGCGACTTTGAAAGGACGTAGTGTAATAGTCCTCCCTGTGTATTGTTATTCGTGATATGATAATAAGGGATGGGAAATTGCGATGGCCTGGGACACGCCTAGGCCAGTGCAAGATGTGTGAGGGATCCAATTCAAACCCGGTCTTCCTATGGGTGGGCGGTTGTGGCACACTAAATGTTTACCAAGCGGCTGCCACGAGTAGAGTGACACTAGGACCACTCGGAGTCCCTTTTATTATCTCGTTCGCATAATCCGCAGGGAGTCACCTTACTAAAGCAAGTGAAGTTTGCATAGTGTAATATTCCTCCCTGGGTATTATTCATGAGATGGTAATAAGGAATGGGGAATTGCTCCGACCTCCTCCACGCCTTAACCACTCCCTGTACCACTATCCACCATGAGAACGACAACTCGAAGGGCAACCTTTTGCCATAACTTTATTACAAAGCAAATTCAGTAGCGTTCTCAAATATTCACACATACTTTCCTAATCCTTACTTAAATAATAACTTAGTATCACCCAAATAATGAATAATTTATAATCACTTACATAATCTATATCCACGTGATAAAGCTTCAGAGTGGCTTACGCGCTACCCCGCGCTTGAACCTAGCCAAGATTAGAAAAAATGTCAGTTTCCCTTCTGTTTGGTTGCCAAAAGCCGGCACAAAGCCTTCCAGCCGATTGACACGCCTGTCTGTCTCGCCGGTATCAAGGGGTAAATCTGCTAGCTTTGCTGCCGCCTCCGCCGGATTTACTACCTGCCTTAACCTTATATAGTGAAGAGCGGTCTTGCTGTTCTTCCACCCGACATGGTCCATAATTTCATGAAGGCTTACACCCTCTAGAGCTAGGGAGACCGCTGTACTACTACGACGGCTATGCATGGTAAGCTGCTTCCCGGAAATGTGATCTCCCACGAGAGAGGTGTAAAACTTAAGGCGCGCTTGAGCAGCTGAGGGCGCTAAATATTGCGAGCCAACCATATTCGCCCTAGTTGTAGTACGGAAAAGCAAACCCAGGGACAGATGAATTCCTAAGAGCCTGCTTATTCTAAGGTAATTCTGGGCCATGGGGTCGGAGGAATGGCCTAATTCAGCACTAAACCCACTCTCCACATTCCCAAACGATTCCCGGGATAACCTTGCGTCACTGCAAGACAACCTCCGGGAGGGGGCATCGGCTTCGTCCACACGGGACTCAATGAAATTCAGGCTAAGGTGAATATTCCGCTCAGAGACTTCCATGAAGAGCTTTTTAGTGACTCTGACCAACTCGAGCGAAAACTTTCGCCCTCGAGACTCCAACGCCCCAGTCATCACTTGGCTATAAACAAAAGCATCCACCCTGGAGTTGCAGATGTTGTCCGGGAAGGCTCTTATAGCGTACACCAGCGCCAACATCTCCTTGGAGGAAATATTGGTGTCTTGTCTTCGGCATCCCAATAATCACCAAAGGCAGCATCCTAGGAGGCTTGGTGAATGACACATCCCCAGCCATATCCCAAGGCATCGGTAGAAAGGGAGACGGTATGATGTTTTTCGTCCCTCCACGGGATGGATTTACCCCAGTTGTCGAGAAACCTCGAATAAGAACCCTCTTCCCGTTGGACATCATTTGGGGTCACTGTATCTTTCCCTGCGCGATCAGGTCGAGCCTTACTGATTTCTCTGATAAAAAGTGTTGCTGCTGGCACGGCCAACGAAAAAGATGTGCACTTGCCTCGAAAACGCTGCAGCGTTTTCAATGGTATGGCGTATTTGCTCGAAAGAATGAGCTCCCTAAAAGGGCAAACGACTCCCTCTTGTGCTGTGGTATCAGGAAGGAGTGTTTCTCAGAATCCACAATAAGGCCCCGGTATTCCAAAGAAGTCGTAGGGGCTAGCACAGAATTCTTTATACCAATCGTGTAGCCCAGTTCTATAAGAACAGACAGCGCGACATAGAGAGCAACCTTTGCTGCTTCAAGTCTAAAGGCTCTCGGGCGCTCCTGAGGCAGCTTAAACCATGGACCAGTCGCAGTTAAGATCTCCCCATTTAACCGATCGTCGATGTATAACGAGCAAGGAATACCCTGGGATCTCAGGAATCCCATCGCCGCTAAGCCAATACTGTGGTAGATATAAGGGGAGATTTTCCACCCAAAAGGTAGCGTCGTGCATACCGTGGAACATATGCTAGTCTGTCCAATGAGAAAGGAGCATCCCTCATCCACAGGTGCAGGAACTTGGTGTCCACGCAGAGCCGAGGTTTTGAGGGTTCAACTGTCAAGGGCATTACCAACTGCGGGGGGTCATCAGAGCCCACCTTTCCCCAAACTCTAAATGCACCTGTCGTTAGGCGGCGCAAGATCTCCGACGAGATAAAAGCAGAGAAAGACGAAGGGTGGTTGGGAAACACCCTACGAGGAGGCAAGTCTGCTTTGTACCTGGAACCTTTAAAAGATCCAGAAAATGGTCGAGAAAATTCAGGGATGTCCATCTTGCGTCGTATTCACTCCCCAATCCGCTCCCCCTGTGGATACCCTTGGAGAAGTTCCTCCGAGACCTGAGCACTGCGATGAACGCCTCCAACTGAGAAGGTCTGAGGGTTTCTAAGTTGACCAGTATGCAGATCGGGAGCGCCCGACGAAATAACCTCCCTCCAGCAAGACGGTTTTTCATTCTGTCCCCCCTGAACTCCATCAATATCCACCCACGACTGTTCAGCTTGGGCTTGTCTTGGCTTGATTGCTAAAGCCCTCCTCCGAAACTCCACCCAATTACCAGCCTCCGCTGCCGGAAGTTCCAACTTCCTTTTGCAACCTGCTGCCTGAAGAAAAAACGCCAAAAATCGAATCAGGAATCAAACTCAGGCCAGATGAGAGTACAGCCAAACCAAATGTCGGACAAGAAAAAAAAAGAACCAACAGACGTGAGGAGATACCGATTGGTTCCCGATCAGGAGAGAGCAACATCGACACGCCTACGCAGAGACCGTCTGGTGGTTCACCGTAGTGGTGAACCAGTAGGAGTTACTCGCCCAGATTGGAGACCCATGGATAGGGTGAACATTCCCCTTATAAGCCAACAAGGAGCCCGGGCTTTAAAACCACCCAATATCGAGGTAGGTAGGTCCCTGCCCAGCCTGTAATAACCTTTAGCCTAAACCTACAAGTAGTATCCATTGACCTGTGAGATACATTTTGCATAACACTCACTAACATTGTGCATGAACAACCTTTATTGCCAGAACAATACTCCTCAAGAGTTGAGGGTCCTATAACATAATCAAATCAAAGCATGGTGTGTGTCCATCAGCAACGGGCTAAGTCCTAGAAAAAAATGATCAGTTGTTAGAACGATCCTGGGAGACCTGCTCAGTTCGTTGCCTTTTGGCCGGGCTTCAGAATTTGTAGGGGCAGAATCTCTGGAAATGCCCCATCCGGCCGCAGCTAAGACACTTCACACCATCTCGATCCCGACCACGGGATCTTCCCTGTGAAGGGCCAGACTCTGCTACTCTCAGTGCCTTTTCCACTTTTGTCATTGCATCCAGGACCTTTTCATCCTCTTGATTCCATTCCTTCGCCAGTGTCCTCAGCGAAACGAGCTGGTCAAGCGCCCTCTCTTTGGAAAATGAAGGGATTCTGATGTACTCCTGGAGCTGCTCCGGGGCACATTGTACTGTCCTCCTCTGCGCATTCTCCAGAACATTCAGCCTACGCATGACATCGGCCATGCCCAGCGCTCCCTAGCGGATCAAGGAAGGAAACCAATGTTACCAACAAGATGGATGACTTAATCTTCTTTGCCTATTACCACTTGGTCACTGTGTAGACACAAAATGTTGTCGCATAAAATCAAGACCGCGGTGTTAAATTCATAGCTTAGGGGGCAACTCAAGCCTCACAGGCATTGAACAAGCCACCCAGATTTCATCCACAAACATAGTAACACGCCCAACAATATGGAAGGCATGCAGACATTTCTTAGCCACACTGGCCACACCGCCACACATGCATTTACTCTACCACACAGGTATAACCACTGCCGCAAAGACTTTAACACAGCCACACAGGTCAATAACCCGCCACACAAGCATTAAAACAGTCACCCAGGCATTAAAACAGCCACATAGATTTAACAGAACCACACAGGCATTCACACAGCCAACCAGGAATTAAGACAACCACACAGGCATTAAACACGACCACACAGGCATCATTAGATGTGGACAAAGTTCCAGGTGATAACACAAAAATTAATGTTAACAAAATTTTAAAAGTATAACAAGCATTTTCCTGCATTTTGCAGCTCAAAATATTAGCTCTCAGTTGCCTAACAGATTTTGGTGTTGCTGTCCATGAAATAACGAGACAAAGGTCTGGAAAGAGGTCCATTGAGCCAACAATTTATTAAATATGTCACGCGTTCAAGCTCGATGTAAAAGGGTCCGAAATATGTCTATATTTTTCAACAGGTATTAAGCTAAGGAGCAGAGGTGACGACATTTTCCTTGCTAAGGACCAAGTGAAAGTTGACGAGAAACATTTCGCAGTTGGTGCGACTTGTAGAACGCACAAGGGCTCTTTAGTTTCCTTTGAAAAATACAACGGCATTCCGGTTGCCCTTAAAGAGTCAGCTGTCGCCGTCTCGAGAGGTACCAAACGTTCTGCACAAAAGGAAGCAGAACTCTTTAAACAGCTTGATCACCAAAATGTCATAAAATTCTATGGCATAGAGAAATCCAGGAACATGCTTGCATATAAATTGATGGAAAAAAGGGTAACCATCGATGGAGAAGTGATACCTGTATACGACGTAAGGATGTTGCTCGATGAGATGGAGGACAACATTCCTCTCTATATTACCCGTAGCGGAGCTGAAGGATTATCATGCTTACATTACAAAAATATCATCCACAGAGATGTAAAAGCAGCCACCTCCTTTATCTCTGGGGGACCAGATAACTCGGAATGGATTATAAAGATCGGCGATTCTGGGGAAGCAAACAACATTAAGGTAAGCAGGTAAGGAAGAAATTATTGTAAATACCTAAGCGTAGTCCTTGTTTAAAGGGCTCAAAACAGAGATGATTTCAAAGATATAAAGTAACTAACAATCATCCCTCAAAACGCTGGAAATTACGTAAATAAATAACCTATATAAGTCTCGGGGGTGAAGTGAAGCATGACAATTCTCCGAGCCCCCCTTCACCAAATCCTGTATCCGCCCCAGGTAAGGGTATTTGCGCTTCGTTTTGACAATCAGCGGGACAGATAACTTTCAATCCCGTTTCTCCTAAGCTTGATACTATCGCCACCGGGATTTGGAGCATGTTGATGAGGTCTCATAAAGCAATCCAGTCACCCCATTCACCGTCCATGGCCATTCTTCTCAGATAAGTGTCCCATGCACTGAGATTGATAAATTAATTGAAATGAGTTCATTCATTGAAATGAGTTCCGTCCGGGGTGGCTGGATTACTTCTGAGATAATTCACCAGGTCAGAGCGTAGTTTTGTGACACTCTGAGATACTCTTCCGAGGCGAACTGTCTGGTCATGCATTGCATGAAACAAACAGTTGCCATCTTTGGGGGTTCGGGCCTGGCGATAAGCAAGTCCTGCATTTCCCACCTCTTAGTCCAACCGGTTCTTTGGGGATTTGTTGTTGTCAGAAGCTTGCTGGCAGTCTGCCATCCACTGGAAAACTTCGGACAAATCGTTTTCAATGCGAAAAGCTGATGCAAGATTTAACAAATCGCTCGCCCTTTCATCTCGAGGCTCTCCGTTGAGAGTAAGGCCGGAATGGTTGCCTCTCGACAACAGTAAGTGTTTTGCAAAAAGTCATGTAAATACTCCACAATCGGTATCATTCTTTTGCTTGGGACATCGAGGTGTGGACTCGTCCCAATTATCTTCCTAGAAGAGAGTTTTATCCTCATCAGAAAGCCACTGAAGTTCCTTTCTGATAAATCCTTCTTTGATGGTATCAAAAATTGTTCGGTACGTTGTTGTAGTGCATCTAGCGGAATCGTAAATGCAAAGGCATACATTAAGAACACTCATAAGGACCAGCAGCCAGTGGTTCTCAGTAGGAAGGTTTACTGGAACCATTAATTGTCCACATTCAAAAAGAGCCTTGTGCCTATATGTTTGGAGTATGTAGATGTTTCGACCGGTCGCTGCAATGAAGGATAAAAGTAGGCACTTGCAAATCCCCGATTCCCTTCTCCAAATGCCCGATTCTTTCTCAAAAAGTCAAAATACAAGTTACCAGTGTCACCATTGAGCTTTTCCGACGAGATTATTTGATCGATGCTGGCTTCTAACGAACTGGTGTTGTCTGTTTTTGCTCGCTTCGCTGGTTGGCCTGGGGAATATAATTAGCATTTTGTCCGCCACTGTCACTCTTTGCTTTTTGCTGCCGGTCATTTTCTTCTTCTTTTGTTACTGAGGTAACATCATCTAGTTTAAACCACCCCGTTTTGCTCTTAAGTGTCACGGGATCACTGTAGCTGATACAGTACTTGTGCACAGAATGATTAGCCTCAAGGATTACCCCTTCACAGGTGTGAGATCACCATTGTTGCTATTAATTAAATCAAACTTTTTTCTCGTTCCACGTTCTGTGTGAGCGCTCGTTTTTACCTTAGATCTGGGGACTGTATGCGGAGCTTTTAACTATGCGAATGTTTGGCGTTTCATAAACAGTATTTACTACTCCCTTAAATTCTAGACCTTGGTCGCTTTGCAAAATTTCTGGAGGGTCGTCTTCGATGTAAATGTCTAAAAGATGTTCGCCGCTTCATTAGTCTACTTTTGTTTAAAGAGGGCGTTAGAAAAGAAATCTACTGAAAATGTCAATAACAGACATACATAATAAGTATCACCGTCTATCGTGCCCGACATGCTAACAAGGTCCACTTGATACCTTTCTTGTACTTTTGATGTCCTGATTTACCGGAGAGGCGCCTTATTTTGAAAAAGGGTCTAACTTTTTGTTGCTGCTTTATTGAATTTAGACTGCGTTGGATGATTCGACGTGATAACCCACAGTAAGTTTGAGACATTTGTTTGCTCAATTTTTTTTCCCGTTCGTCTCGTAGTACTCACTATCCACATGCTGAGAGACCTTTTTAATTTCCGATAAACCCTTTGCCTTAACCCTTTGTCACCTTTCTTAGGCCAATCGTGCAGTGACTTATCTTCAGTTAAGATGCTGTATAGTGCATCGTAGACGTCATCGTCCAAAGGCAGATTTTTTCTTTGAGGCTAAGGGTTGGAAACGTTTAGTCTGTTAAATTCGCAATTTATTTTTCTATTAAAAAAATCCACCCTTCTAAGACAATTGACGAATATTGACTCTGAAGGATAACTATCCTTGGGCGGCTAGCTTTACAACTGCCCATGATCAGTCCATGAATGATCTGACGAAGTTTCAAAATTGTAACGCGGTTAAAAGTTGCGTGACCAGACATCCCTAAATTTGGGTAACGCTAAATATAGGAACCTGAAACTACGAGCTGTATGGCAGTCGATCATCGAGTAAAAATCGTACCTGTTTAGGTCTATTAAATTTTCAGGCAAAAATAAAGTTGTTGCCCAGGAGCCAGGAAGAAAATAATTTTCTGCTACTCTGGGTACAATTTTTACGGAGAGAGCTGAACAAGACTTTTAATTTCAAAGGGTAATGAAATTTTTATTTATTTTTTACAAGTATGTAAAGAGTTGATAGTGTCTATCTACGTCCTTCGAAAAACAAGAAGAAGCAACGATGAAATACTACTACACGTAAAATGATAAAAAAGTGAAAGTAAGCGATAACAACCAATATTTGGGTGTCATCATGACGCCATTTTATTAGGGTCATTGTAAAAATTCTGCGAGTCGTGCTTCATAATCACTTTGATCATTTGCAGTCCAATTTGGGGATCATTTGCGGTCCTGGGGCCCGTTTCTCGAAGGTCCCGAAAATTTTTCGCAGCCGGGAAGCCATAGCAGCATCTCTAACCTTATGATTACAGAGCTGTTTTATTCACGTATTCTTAACATGAACACAGGTTCCCTTCATACAAGAAGTTTTAGGCTTATACACCTCTCCGTTTTTAGATACAGATGAACTAAAAATGGCTTTACGGGCCCGAAAAGTTTCCGAGGCTTTCGAGAAACGGGCCCCTGGGATCATTTGCGGACCCGTACAGATCAGTGTTGCCAGGTAGGAAAATAGTTGTGTCATTTACAACAAAATATGCTGTTCCTCGTCAAATCAATCCCAGAATTCTCGAGCTAAGCATTAGAAGAAGCCAAAACAACTTTAGCATTGTCTTCATTTTTTGTTAGCTGCGAAGAAAAAGACTATTATCGTGTCGTTTCGGCAGGCCACCTCGGTTTGACTGCCGCTCGTACTGCGGGCACGGCCACCGTAGACGTCAAGCAAATCACTTTTTCCTATTTTAGATTCGGAAGGTATAATAAAACACTTAATGACTGGCCTATCGGGAAACAGTGAGTTTTGTTTTCCCGTGAACCTCGATGTTACCCGAGGCGTTTCCCGATAGGTCAGTCATTAAGTGTTTCATAGCCTAATGATCGAGTATGACCCACAAGAAAGATTTAACTCAATTTTAGCCCCATGAGGAAAGCATCGGTTGTCGTCTTATCACCGAAGTAGCCCTGTCGTACGGAAATTAGCACTTGGATGGGTAACCGACTTGGAATACCCTTCGTTTAACTTTTTTTTCGTCAATATATTGCCCTTTTTTCTTACTATTTTTCAGTTTGACAGTTTCTCAAGGTTTGAACTTTATGAATCAAAATACCAAAACTTTTATAGGCTCAGTATACACACTCGATGCAGTTCTACTTTGGCGGACATTGATTCCGTGAATTGACTTCATTATACTCTTCCAAGAAACGAAACGAGGAAAAACAGATTATGTTTCCTTGAACTAACAAATTCGTGAACTAGACTGAATAAGCAAAACTTACCAATGAACACACCCGCCGCCTTCAGTGAGACCCCAGAAATGAGGTAGCAATAGGTCGTTTTCACTGTCGCGCAGTGAAACAAAATAAATCAAAAGTCATGCGGTGGATGAAGTCAAGAAGATGCCATCTTATAAAAGATAAATAAAGGAAAAGAAAGTCTTAGGTCGCCGGCTCTTAAGTTTTGGATCTCAGACCCTTTTGACGTCACGTGAAAACCATCTATACTGGGCTTTCGAGATTTAACTTATTTTTATAGGCTTAAATAGTGCATCTCGTAATTCTCGACAAACTCATGGACTTCCATAGCAGAAATCGGCACTGAACTAGAAAACAAATTTATGCAGCTAGCGTCCATATTTGACTGTCTGGACTGAAATGCCGTGTTTAAATAAAGATTATGTAAGCATAAAGGGACCGGTCATTATGTGTTGCATGGGGGGGGNAAAGGAAAAAAAAAAAACATTTGAAGCGGTGGGATCAATTTATTACCTTTTTTATTATCTGGTATTTATTTTACCTTTTTTCTTGTTCAGACAAGATATAATTTAATATAATGACATAATGGTTGTGCTTAAGTATAACACGTGATGCTCGAAAATGTTTAAGTTTGCTAGTTTAAATGTCGACTAAGCTCCATGTTTCAAATTCTTTAGAGTCATCGAGGGGCATCCCCGCAATGGGAACGTTCGATAAGCGTGGCGGTACACCGTCTTGTCACTAAGCAACATCAACAAAAGCAATACATATATACAAATATTTAGTGTGAGTGCTTCGTCCCCCAACGCTTCTTTGTCAGCCTCTTGGACGCCTCCCTCTACCGATTCTTGAACAACTTGTTCCAATGACTCTTTGATATCTCCCTCTGCCAACTCTCGGATAGCCTCCTCGTCCGATTTATCAGCCTCGTCCGAGCCTGACACACAATGTTTTTTTCGTTTAAACTGGCTACTATTACCTGCATGTTACGGGCAATGCTTATATTAAAAACGCCTTTTTTCTAGGAAGCATAGCAGAGGGTCGAGATGAAGACGCCTGACCAATTTCCCAGTTACCTCAACGTTGATAGTTGCGACGCTTGTAAAACTATTGTTATTTATGATTGCATCAAACACTTCTCCAGCCAGCTCTCTGGAGGTGAGTCTTTCGAGAAACAAGTACGTCTTCTGTTGTTAACGCTCCTCCTTTAATTTTTTCACCTTTCTTTTCTCTTTTTTTTTTCTGCGCGATTGCCGATCTTTCCCAATGCGAGATGCAAACTTCCTTTTCAGGTTTATTAGGGTTGTTGTCAGTTTATTCATACTCGTTTAGTAGTCCGGCGGCACAACTTTTGAATTGTACGATTTTGGATACAAGCACCAAACTTTGTAGGATTATGTGCATTCCCATACTGATCAATTCCTAACAAAGTGCCAA